CCCAATAAACCACTCCTAAGCTGTAGATATCACTCTTATCAGTGTACGCTTTTAGAACCAGTACTTCAGGAGCAGTCCATTGAAATGTACAAAACAATACATCAGTTAATTGTGTTTTCTTTGTTGTTTCGCTTCGTGTTTGAGCTAAACCAAAATCACACACTTTCACAAAATAACCTTCATGAGATTTCTCTAATAAAAAGTTCAGTGACTTGATATCTCGATGTAAAATGGATGGTTGTAGTTTATGAAGATAATTAATGCTTTTGGCTGTTTGCAAAGCAATGGATAATCGATCAGACCAATCTAATGGTAGGTTATCCCTGAGGGTGTGGGTGTGTGTGGGTGTGTGTGGGTGTGGGTGTGGGCGTGGGTGTGGGTATGGGTGTGGGGGTGGATGTGGGTGTGGGTGGGTGTGGGTGTAGAGAAGACGAGACACCCACACCCACACCCGCCCACGCCCATACCCACACCCACCCACACCCCCACCCCCACCCCCACACCCACACACACCCACACCCATACCTACACCCACACCACCCACACCCACGCCCACACCACCCACATCCCACACTCACATACCTACACCCACACCCACCCACGCCCACACTCACCCACACACCCAAACCCACACACTTACACCCACACCCCGTACGAGGGCCGCTCAAGTGCCGTTTTCTGGTTATAGGTCTTATAAAAAATGATTTATTTTAATCGAAAAGCTCAGCTAAATCCGTATTTTTGTAGCCGACACAAGCAAATGACATTGTCGGTTGATGTGCTAGCAACTATGCGGACTTTTATTAGAGTTTTTAATGGGTATGACGCGTTTCCACACTAGTGTCACGGATGTGTTTTCCATGTTGATCCTTTCAGCTTATTGAAGATAATCTATTTTCTCGGAACGTGTGGATGCTGCTGTCTTAGTGTGGTTTATGTAGATTTTCGTTGGGTATTACTGTGTGGGTATCGGTTTGATTGGATGAATTTATGGCAAAAAGTATCACACAGACATGTATGGCATTGTGCAGAACGACACTGATGCAGATATAAATATCCACACTCACACGCAACCTTGTTCGAAGCTTGGATACTAGGTTTTTTTAGCGTTGTAGAGCGATATATAATACCGGAACAGTCAAATATTCAGTTGAGGGTCAAGCGAGTCACACAGACGAGCGTTACTTGTTTTGTGATTAGTGCTTTTTGGATGTGTAATTCATTTGCATCATCCAGTGAAAATTTTCTTACAAGACATACACACACTCACATACAATCTTTTATGGCACTTTAACATTGATAAGAAAAAAGCATGACTGTATGTTTGAACTAATGGACTGATCAAGCTGAACTCTCATGACTTCACAACATCAATCACATAGACTTCATAAAGGAGTTTTATTATTGATGTTAGACTTCTATCTTTATGTATCATCTGTACTCGTGAGTGTTTCAAATCTTGATAGTCATTGTTTTGATGTTCATTTTCTTTAATGAGTCTTATTGTCTTTGTAAGGAATTTCTGCGAAAATTCAGAGCTTATTATATAACTTGAATACGACATCATAGTGAGTGACACTTATGTATAAATTACCAGACTAGAGAGATTATCATGATAAAATCTTTTTATTTAATCATAAATGCATTTTGATATAAATGAAATTTTAAGGAAAGTAATTGTTAGACGTAAAATAATAGACTGAGAGTTTGTTAGATTCAGAAGGAAAACTACGAATTTGAAGAAGCTGTAAAAAAATGAAGAAGTAGAAGCATATGAGAAGAAAGGATGATAAGGTCATTGTTTTTTTTTGAGACTAATACACTAAATTGAACATTGGTGTGTAGATAATATCGAAATCATTGTCGTTCTTGGAATCTCCAAAGTGTTTGAGAGCCGAAAATCGAAGTTTGTACTGACCAGGTGGAAGTTGACTCTGCTGGAAAACCATATCAGTTCCATTCCAAGCAGATGTACTGACCAATCCAGACCAATCGTAAGTAGTTTGTTCACTCAAAGAGTAATCGAAAGCCTCATGAGCATTTCTTACTACATTGTGCAAGTACAATGCAGATCCATCATCAGCGTACACCACACGCAAGCTATGAAGTAAAGAAATTATTATTGATCTGGCATTTGCACTAAGTCAAAGACATCTGTATTTGAGAACCTTCATAGAAGAAAATGATCTAATATATATATATATATGTTAGTTAACGACCTTTTAATTAAGAAATGAAGTACTAACAAGAGAATTCATGATCGAGGTCGGAGCTATATTGATTAACAGTGAATTTATCACATTAAGCGAACCAATCTATGCTGTGAATAGGTGTAGAAGTCTCCTTTACGTATGATTTTCTTCTTCGACATTTTATAGATACGGCATGTCTAAAGATGATTCGGTGAAGACAAGAGTGGGACAAAAAGTTTTTGATCAAACAATGGCTGAGAAAAGCGTAAAACATAAAGAGTGAGGCGCTCAGAGTCTGTCGAGTCTTTATGTTTATTTTTAATTACTATTAGCATTTCAGAATTAAAAAGAAAATTCATTGATCTATTAATGCTGTTTCCTTTCTCCTAATACGAGTCTCAAATTCCTGTAGAAATTTTGGTTCATAGTCTCTTTAGTAGCCTTTGATTAACCTAAAGTTGAATCGTAATTTTTCTTACTGAAGAAACAGCTCGTTCAACGTAAAAGCAAATGTTATTTAGAATACATGATCAATAAATACAAACATTTTCTTATTCGAAAACATATATTTGATAGTATTTCCAAACCTGTTTTTCAAATGAGAACATCTACTAACTCGGTAATAGCTGAAAGTATTTTTCAACTATCAAAGCCTTTATAATCATTATAAGATTTTTCACTATATACATGTTTTCGTTAGTCTCTATTCTCTGGCCAGCTTTTGACGTTTCATCTTTCAATGCTCTGCTTGCCTGTATTACGTAGCTAAGTTGATTATCGAGCTTTTTGGATTACGGATACAAGGACCTCTTTTCTTTTCTTGAAAATCACTAAAAAAGCTAGAAGGAATCAATAGTTAATTTTGTCGGAATTTCATACATCTTATTACGTTTACTGTGTTGAGTCAAAACTAAATATGAAAATATCTATTCATCAATGAACCTGCACACTGAAATATGTTCTGTACAATGTATGATTGGAGCCTTTCTTTTTATCTTCTTTAGGATCCTGCTTGCCCATATAACGATATGGAAAGCTGAAGTTTTACATTATAAGTAGTTCTATATATGGATGAATTGCAACTTTATTGTACCGTTCGTAGTTCCATATGTAAAACTTTAATAACTTCAGTTCCTCTTGGCCAATCTCTATGAAAATTTCGGAGTATGCTGCCGTAGTTGATGCTCACTACTACACAAAAAATCACGAATTTATCATTAGTCTATCCCGAGATACTACATACACAAGGTTAAAATGGCTGATTTCTACTGCCACCTATGGACAGAAAATGACCCATCACTAATTGGTTTCTTGTCATTTGAATTTTGACAGTTTTTGACATTTACAGTGGACAGTGTATACATCATGGATATGAGACTGGCTAGTTCTTTCATCGCAGTTTATGTTATATTTTTTTCCGAATATCAGGTGTACCGTCAATGGTCAATATGGTGTCACACGAGATTTAAAAACGCCTTTGCTATATAACAAAGCATTCAAAATTTGTCGGATTGGTTTTGAATGAAAGCTTATCAGTGGGGAATAAAACTACCAAAGATGATTCGAAAGTTTTACTTATTCTTATTAAGAAAGGGACATTAAATAAAATTTGAAAATATAGTTGTCACACTAAATGTCACACGAGATTTCATACGTTGTGTGTTGTATTAACTCTTGTAAATTAAGGCATATTGAGCTGAAATTTTTATCATTTTATTTGTTAGTTGTGGCCAGATATTGCTGAAAATATCACGGTTAGAAAATGCTCCTTTCGCATAACAGAGAGGAAAATAGTGTAAAAATGTCACACGAGATTGTTGGCAAACTGTCACACGAGATTTTTTCAAAAAAGTGCCAGATGAGATTTTTATGTGGATAACTATCCAGTAACTGAGATTAAGGTGAATAAAGGGCATATTAGTCGCTTTCATGTTTAAGTGACTATCACTACTCACGCGAACTAATTCTAATACATTCCTCACGAGTTAATAAATTTGCTGTGAAAGATGCGTATACACGATCTATACTCAATTTAACAGTGGTAGTCGGGAAAATTTATTCATATCCATCTCTCATATAGTGTAGTAAGATGCACTACTCCCAATCTCTAAAATCGGAAATTTTTTTTTCATCGATTTTTTTCTCAAAACGGTACAATAAAGTTGCAATTCATCCATATATATAAGTATTACAATGATAAAATCTATTTAGGTGCACTTTCGTCGAAAGCGAAAATGTTTTTCTTCTGTTTGAAGAAATATATCTCAAAAATTACTACTCATATTTGAAACGGACATAATTTTTTTTTTGAAATCATACATAGTTTCATTGCAAACGACTTGTCTGGCTCTTAATAAGATACTCTCATTGCTTATAACTGTTAGCTCTGATATGTATAGAACGAAAGAGATAAGCAGCGTCACTGATGTTATGTGACAGAACGATGAAAAAGATGACCTTCGTAGGAATCGAATCCACACCTCCTGCTATCCGGGCAGTTGTCCTAAGTCAATTAGACTAGAAGGCGCATCTTTATCATCGCTTAGCGTCTAAGTGATTCATCATGGACGCTAACAATAACAGCAAAACGACACTTTTTCACATCTATAAATGATAAAAATACAGAATTGTGATTCTGCTTTTTATTTGCAAATAGGCCGTAGTTAGTCTCGAGATAAACAGACATACAAAAAGATTTTTCACAAATGGTTTCACATGATTTGTGATGATTATTTACGATCATTAGAAATCAGTAAAATCGCAACCATATTATAAGGTTCAATCAATTATGTCAGATGAAGTCCCCTTTTACCTTGCATTATTATTATTAAGCAAAAGATTGTCTTGTCCTGAAATAACTTCCACAAAAACAATGCGCGATGACCATGCTGTAACCAGTACAGCGGATGATTTATGAGAGCTTGTCATATTAATATATTCTCCGTTTGAAATATAATTACCAGCCGCATTCAATAGACCTGGTACAATGCCTAAAGGACTATTTCGAACCCAAATAGGAGTATTCTTAAAATCACCCACAACACCAAAATCTAAAGAGATATCAATTAATTCATAAAAGCATGAATTTGGAAAAACTGAAAAATATATATCCTTACATGGAATCTGAGCAATATTGTTGTCTACATCATTTGAGGCATAAATGAAACCAGAGAAGATAGGAAGAAGATTCGCTTGAGCTTGAGCTTGAGGAGGTTCTTGAAATTTAAGAATGACCACATGTGATTTTCCAGGCATGAGTTTGAAATTTTTTGGTGAAATTTTAACATCCTTCGAATGCGACAAAACTGAGTATGAGTTAATGACTCAATAGTAAGGGCATAGCTGCTGAGGAAGAAGAAGCTTGACATTCATCTTCATGGTGAACATCGTTTCTCCAGTTGAAAACGACGGCTATACGCTCGTAAAATTTTTCATCACTGATTTCATGTTTCGATAATAAGTAAGTCGTCTGACTATAATACCACTCAATAGAGCACGACTGACTATCGACATTATCAACGCATGTTATCGAAAACTGATAACATAATGTTCTTATCGGCTCTATAAGAATTTTATATTTGAATTTTATTTTAGATCTTTTGCTACAATTTTAGTATATTGAAAAACTTCTGCTTAACTGAGACTTCGACAGAACTTCACGAAAATAAAAGATTCTCCGTTTAAATTCTTTGGAACCACTTTTCTTCAATGATTTACGTCATTTATTGTGTATTTCAGAATGTTGAGTTCTAGTTTGATGATAACAATATCTATAATGAGTAAGTGCTCACCTAACTACTCAATCATATCAACCTGAAAATATTAGGCAACACAGAAGGAAAAATTTTAGAAACATTTCTCTACATTTCGGATTTAAAATAATTTCAAGTTGATTCATCAATTCTTACAACCTAGTTAAACTTTAAGTAAACAATAGTCTATTGAGAGAAATTTGTACGATTATGCACTTTAAATAATTAAACATGACTCACAGCATAGTTAGCAGTATATTTTGGTATCAACAAAAGCTGATCGTCTCCTGGCTGTTTTGGAGTGGCCGTTGCAGCTCCACGATGACCAATAGTGTATAGAGCTGACTTATTACCGACATTGGATACTTCAATCTTGTAGATCTGCTGTCGTCTGACTGTGTCATTCAACGCAAGTTCACTTGGTGAAATGATTGTAGTAGCTGTTAAAGCTTGAAAAGCGTTGACTAAACCGGCACCTTGTTGTATAGTTGTGGCGAGCATTAATGTCTTATATATATTTACTGGTTTGGCATTCGATTGGAATAAGTTGACAACTTCTGAGAATGAAGGTCGATGATTTGCACTTGTTGAATTACGGCCAACTGTTTCTGGAGCAGGATTGCCAATTTGTGCAAGAAAAAGTGCTAGAGTTCTAAAAAACAAAAAATGCGATAGATTTTAGATTGATGCAAGATATTTCATTTTTATTATATACAAGTAACGCTCGTCTGTATGACTCGCTTGACCCTCGACTGAATATTCAACTGTTTCTGTTTTGTATACTGCTTCACAGTCCTCAACGAAACTAGTATCGAACGTTTGAAAAGGGTGGGTGTGAATGTGAATATTGCCATTCGCATCAATGTCCTTGTGTACGATGATATGTGTGTTTGTGTGATACGTTTTCTTTTAAATTCATCCAACGAAATTGAGATGCATACAATAATATCGAACGGAAATCTAAATGAACAACACTAAGGAAGCAGTATCCATATGCCCTGAGACAAAAGATTGCGTTCAATATACAGAGAGAGAATCAACAAAGAAAACACATCCGCGACACTAGCGTGAAAATGCATCATACTTCTTGAAAACTAATTAAAATCCGTATAGTTACCAGCACCTCAACCGGCAATATCATTTGTTAGCGTCCGCTACAAAAACATATGTTTAGCTGAACTTTTAGATTGAAATAAATCATATTTGATCAGACTTATTTTTGGAATACGCAATTGAATGACGCTCGTACGCAAAGTAGTCATCGGATTAGACAAATAATTTCAAAATACTTGGATAAACTTAGACGAATAAATGCACACAGACACGGACACATAATGGCAGAAAATCTTATTTTATTTCATTTAAATCTACTTCAAATGGACTGAACTGAATTCTTTGCATGATGTTTTCGTCAAATCTTCTATTCAAACACTGTGCATGTGCAGCAAAACTGTTCTCACATTTCATTCGAAAATACTTGTTAGTCTTTTTGGCCAGTTCTGGTTTCTATTGAATTCACCAGATCTAAACTGTAGATATTTTTCGGATGGATTGCAACAACCTGATGCATTCCTTCAGGAAATTTCTCAGAGCAGCGGCTAGTCGCTCGTCGGTGACCCTTTGGGGCACCCACTAGCGGCTAGCCGCTGCCATGCTTTATTCTATTCCGGCATAAGATCATTCTCTTTGATTTATACCCTATCTGATTCTAGATTTCGCTTAGTTCAAAAAGGCGTTAGAATTATAACACGAGAATTCTCCACGAGTAATTCCAAAGCCGAAAGTTTGTTGTGAACTATTTCTTATGTCTTTAATTTCATTGCCTAGCTAGCCAATCAGAGGTTTACTTAAATTTCTCATTAAGAGAATCTGAGTGTAATATTCTCCCAAAAAGCCTAGCCTTTATATAGGTCATTTCTAAAGCGAAACAACAGTGAACCTGCAACAGGAGCGGCTAGTCGCTCTACTATTTGAACACACCTAAGCAGTAGCTAGTTATTCTCTTTTAGCCATAAAAAAATGTGATCTCATTTTTATATATTTGTTTATAGTACCTTCTTCAAGTCATAGTGGCGAGAAATTCCATGTGTCAGAACTTCTGCTGAAAAACAAATGCGAATAATGTAATAGTAAGCCAGAAAAAGACGCATCGTGAGTGGGCTTAGATACCGATCATATCGAATTGACTTAAACGTGAATTTGGGTATTGGGAACACTTTTTCACTTGGGTGTCGATGTCGGTATAAGTATGTGCCTGAGTGGATTGATCTAGGTCTGCCTCACATCGACACCCCATCCCTATACCGTAGAAAAATCTCAGATACAGTTCACGTCAGTGAGCTTGTCGAGTCTGTAATCTCGCTAACACATCTGAATACGTTACCCTTCCAATCACTGCCAGCTCACAAGCTGATTTTACTTCATGCCATTCAATGTTCAGCACAGCGGAAACTCATTGTTTTCTCATAAAACCTTACCCTGATTATAAAGTTATAGCCACCAACTTCCAGCAATATACAAAACACTTGGATGCCCGAACGTCGATTTAGGCTCCCCAACTTTTCTAAAGCGTCGTTTTTTTCGCAAAAAAACCTTTTCTTTCACCTAAAAAATCGAACTCACAATTTCGAAAAACCGACTTCAGATTCGGATACTCGAACCCCGATTTACTTCTTTCAACCTTCTTACAGTGTAAAATCCGACCTCAGATTCGCAAGCCTGGCACTCGATAACCTATAGTAAAGTTTCATCAAAACGCCCAGATAGCTCACCACAAAAAAGCTCATTTCTGATTTCTCAGCTCTCTAGTCAATAGGAAGGCCGTATGTAAAACTCGACCTCACATCCGAAATCCTGGTCCTTGACAACCTATAGTGAAGTTTCATCAAAACGCCCAGATAGCTCACAACAAAAAAACTGATTTCTGATTGGCCGGCTACCTGGCCAATGGGAAGGCCGGACGTAAGATCTGACCGCAGATTTAGAATCCTGGCCATCGATAACCTATAGTAAAGTTTCATCAAAGCGCCCAGATAACTCACAACAAAAAAGCTGATTGCTGATTGGCCGGCTACCTGGCCAATGAGAAGGCCGGACGTGAAATCTGACCTCAGATTTGGAATCCCGGCCATCGTTAACCTGTAGCTAAGTTTCATCAAAATGTCGAAAAGTCTTAAAATAAGCTGACCTCTCATATATGTTTTTTTGACCTTTGTTACAAGGGCCGTCACCAATTTATTTTTTTTTCATATGACCCTTCCTACAGTCGAGGGAATGAGGGAGCAAGGATTGTTTTTCTATGATATATTTTTTTCAAAACAAAACTAGAAGCAGAACTTCATTTCTTTTCTATGTTCATTATTTCTGACTTTCGATTAAATATAGTTGATATTCTTAACGAAAAGACGATAGACTTGGTGGTTAATAAAAGATGTTTGACTTAGTATTACGTAAGAATTGATTGACAATCGACTAGCCTACAAAGATATACATCATTCTACAATTGTATCGTTCTTCTGTGGATCATATACAAACGATTTCAGTCTACTTGTGTATATTGCATGAACAACTTCTAAGAAGTCAGAGATAACATCAGATAACTTCGTGTTCTTCGAACCTCCTCCGATGTTCAATAATGAATACTACAATAGAAAAAGTAATAGAATCCTACTAATGTTATGATTTTTTTCTAAAGCTACTTGTATCTGTTTGTTCTTTATTTTTTCTCTAAATGTGAGCACTCATCATCTGTAGAGTATCGTTATGATCATCAATGAACCTATATTATACGCAGCATGTAAAGATCTACTGATAAGTCCACGCATATATTATTAGATCGTTCAATATGTTTCATTGTCTATTGAATAATTTCATTTTTGTGATAATTCTAGTTGAAATTCTCTTTCAAATACAATTTCAAAATTTTCCACTAGAGATATTACCTGACTTTTTAAAATACTAATCACAATCCTTTTGAATAATTATTGACCATAAATAGCTACTAAATTTGGACTTTAAGCTATACGATAGAGCAACTCAAGAAGCATCTGATTACATGAAGACTATTCAATAGAAAAAAACATTATCGGTCTCTTTTTAAACGATATTTTTTTTCGATGCGTCTTTTCTACAGTTGTCGTAGTAATATAGACTCAAATTACATTATCATGTACTTCAACCATTACGCTATCTATCATGAAACTCTTACATCAAATTGTTATAGCTTTTTCATGTTAGTGAATACCGTCTTTTTTTATATGCTCAATGAAAACAAGTTTAGCGTATCCATCTACTTTTTTCATCGTGTTGAATCAGCTAGCAGTACTGTTTTCCATTGTAAAAGCTTTCAAAGCATTTCATCTCCTATTTTGACTATTCTTCTTTATAGCTATTTATAGTAGAAAATGCCATCGATTGTGTTTATTTTTGCATAATTGAGCTATGAGATCGATATATACGTCAATTGCTGAGAAGAAAAAAGAAGAAACCACTTTGATTGATCATAGTTCTACTCTGAAGTTTCCTCTCTCTCTTTAATTTACGTATTCTCTGTATTCTTTTTGTTCCTGCTTATTGTTGCGATTAATTTTTAGATGATATGATATCAATACATAGATATTTTCAGTTTATCGAAGTTTCTTTCACTGTTCACCAGCATCATGATCTTCAGGATCATTCTTCTCTATCCGAGCTCATTTATTTATTTTTGTGGAACTCACGTATGTTTTCGAAGAAAATAGTGAGTGTAAGTTTTAAGTTCGAGGTTGGCGGCTCCCCCCCC